CGTCGATCCGCTTATCGAAATTTGCTATCACATCTCGACACAACTGCTCCTGAATCTCTTCAATGTGGCGTGAAATTTCGTCTTTGAGTTGCTGGATGGTGGTAGGCTTGTTGGCATAGACTTTACTCTTCAATTTGGGGCCATTTGAAGAGTAAAGTCTATGCCAACAAGCCTACCACCATCCAGCAACTCAAAGACGAAATTTCACGCCACATTGAAGAGATTCAGGAGCAGTTGTGTCGAGATGTGATAACAAATTTCGATAAGCGGATTGACGTGTGCCGCCGGAGCCGCGCCGTGGCGAACATTTGGCGGATATTATCTTCCATACTTAATTGTAATGGCCTACCAAACATGTTCTATTAAAGAAATTTTCATTTTTGTACACCACCGATTTTTAATTCACGATTAACATCATTCCTTCTTATTGAAACACCCTTTATATGTACATGCCGTAAGAAAATTCATACAATTTCTTTCTGCTAATGTAAGACAGTCGAATATTCGTAATTTTCCTGCAGCTAGAAGAACTGCGAAAGTAGTTTTGTATGTTTCTGTTCAAAATTTTCCACGCGTATTACCAATATTCCGAGCGTGTTCGCGCGTTACGAAGAGAACGCTCCTGTGTGGAGGGACGTTGCGCTCGATGTGATACGTCGGCAACGCTTTGACGACGTAGGTAAGCGTAATTCTCTAGATCCCACGGGTCCACGTAATGACGACCGCCGGTGCTTCCAAAACTGCCGGGGGTTGATCTTCGTGAGTCGGCTGAGTTCCAGTAAATTGACGATTCCGCCGGCATCTTTCTTATATCTCTCCCACTTTCTCAAGGACGCGCTATATATTTTAGCAAATTATTTTAATTCAATTTTTTTTCTGAAATGTGTTTCAATAAGTTTTCTTTCTTTTCTATAATCTCAGTCAATATACATATAGAAAAAAAAAGTTTTGTATTATAATGTTTTATAAAACGTAAAATTATAATTTACAATGACATATTTATATTTTACACACACACACACACACACACACACACATACACACGTGGGCGCGCTTGAGTATGTATGCACATGTGCGTATGCGTATAATATAAGCAATTTTTTCTCAATCTTTACAAAAAAAAACAGTAAGTACAAGTATATTTTTAATAACTTTTTAATTTTTTTCTTTTTCTATATGTGCCAAGTTCAGTGATTACACAAGAGAAAAAAATATGTGTGGTCATATTTTCTATATTTTATAATTACATATATTTATACATATGTTTTTATGAAATTTTTTAAACTTTTCTGGGTTTTTATTCTTTCGGGTTACATTACAGGTCCTTTGACAAGGTTTAAGGAATTCTTTTGTACAATACTTAATTCATATTAATTCATCAAAGCACATGGAAAAAAGGGTTTTGTTGAAATTTATAAAAATTATGCTAGCTATAGATCTGAGAATGATTACGTTGAGTCCTGAAAATAACTAACTGTAGAACGCTCGAGTATGATGATAATGTTGCAAAAATTTTTGACAATCTGGTAACCAGCCCAAACGTCCAATGTAATTATTAAAACATTTGTTGGTCCTACGTAATTATACATAAATATGTATGTACCTATAATTTTTTACATTTCATCAAAACCGTTCTTTCTAGGGAATATCAGCGAATTAATAGTCCACAAGCACTATCATCTTTTTTAAATTTAAAATTAACTTTTAATTATTCCTTCTTCTTCCACTTGTTTGGAAAATTACTTTACCTGACAGTAAAAATATTCTTGTCAATTTTTTTCCTTTCTTCCTTTGCACGTAATATCCTTACGTAAAAAAATTGATTCTATTTGTGTTTAATTCACATCTATTTTCACACTGAATAAGTTATACATTTAACACATTCTTCTCATTTTTATTGTTTTTCTCACTTTTTTTCACGTCCAAGATAATCGTATTATTAGTTTATTACAATATATTGCACCACTCAGATATTCTTTATCGTTATATAAATCGTGAGCAAAATCACAGTCAGCAGTTTATGATATTTCGTGTGTGTTAAACAACGCGGATTCAAATCCTTTTTCCTTCTTTTCGCACGGCGACGACGGCGTGGAGGAGTACGTTGTACGCACCGCGGATGCAATTTAACGAATGCATTAGCCTCTGCGGCTGCAAAAGCAGAAATGTTTTCCGCGCTGCGCTCTTTGCGGTGAAATCTCGTAGACTTTCACGCCCGTGCGCGCGAACTTCGTGGCCTAATCATCGTATTCCGAGTCCCATGACGGATGATGCATTGAGCGGAACAAGAACAGCGCGAACACGCGCGTATGTTATTCTAAGATGCACTACTTTCGAAAGTATGTTCGAACGATTTGAATTTTTACACGATTTAGATTTCAACATTTCAAACATTTTCGTATGATTTTCTTTTTTCAAAAAAGCGATTCGAATAATTATATCGCAATTTGTATCTTCGGAAAAACTGGATTGTTAGTCCTTAACTGTATATAAAACTGAGCTAGACACACGGATCTGAAAATAATTTGTATTGGATAATCAAAATAATTAAGTAAGATGTTTAAAAGTGATTATAATTTTACAAAAAGTTTTGACATTCTAACTACCAGCTTGAGCGTCTAATAATTATTTAGGTAGTCCAACATAACTATTTTTTTAAAGTGTATCTAGCCAAATTTTCAGATACTTTAACAAAACCGTTCTTCCCTATGTGCACATTCATATTTATACTATATATATTTTTGGATTTTTATATTATTAAACTTAGCACTGTTTTTATATGTAAGCGCTTTTTTATCGAGCTTCTAGATATGCACAGTTGTCTTAAATCTTTAAGTTTATATTAGAAACAAAGGAATTAGGATTTTAATAGAAGTGAGAAATAAAAATGCATTTTTCTTAAATTTTTTTTAGCACATAAATTAACAACTCAGATTGCTTTTCGAATAGCTTCTCATTATTTGTCCGTATTATTTGTCTGCTTATCAAATAAGAAAGAAAGGAAGACAAAGAGAACTGAGTACAATATCAATTATAAGTTTAAATTAAAAATTATATTAACATTATGTACATTTTCGCGTAATTTACTAATAAAATAACTCTTAATATTCTTTGTTGAGATAAGAAAAAAATCCCGATAAAAAATTTTATGAAAACAATTATACATGTGTATTTCCTTTTTGTATAATCTCCGTTCATACATATGTATGTATACGGGAAAAATAATTGAGATTAAAAATTATTTAAAAGGTTAATTCGAGTAGTTTTTTTTAATAAAAAGTGAAGTTTAAAGAAATGGGGAAAAGTTGCCCACATATAATTACATACAGATGTAATATATAAAATATGATTACATACGTATTTTTCCTGCTCCATACCCGTACGATGCTACGCTTAAGATAACGAGGCAAAACATGATATGGTGAAATTTGTCTTGAAGAACTTTTACAGCGATCAAACATGCAGTTGCTATTTAAGAAAATCATCTTAAGTTCACAAAAACATAAACGGTCAAAATTAGCTCAGCACCGAGCGTCCCCCTTCAAACTTTACAACTTTTATCGTACGTTTTTCCTTTAATTTTTTCCCTTATCGAGTTATTGGATCATACTGTTGTAGATAACACACCCTGTATATACAGTATTGTATGATCTAATCGCATTTTTATTTTCTAAAAACAATGCAAAAATTATTTTTCTGATTATCCTTCAAATATTCTCCAATTTTTTTTATATACAGGGTGTACTAAAACCACCGGATATCCTTTTAATAACAGATTCTTTAGAAAATCTCAAGACAAAAATTCTAATACAGAAATGTCGAGGTTACAATAGTTTTTAAATAATGAGCGCGTATGTTTCACCAATGATAGACCTGAGATTTCGCGCGCTCAGGCACGGCGACGTGACAAGTGACAAAAAAGTGTTTGTATGAACGTCGCCCTTTTTAGCACAGTAGCAACCTTCTTGGTAACCGACATTGATCGATCACTTTGACAGCTACAACATTTTGAAGTTACACGTTGCAAATTTCTACTTGAATTAAATAAGAAGGGCGACATTCATAGGAACACTTTTATCGTATCGCCGTGCCTGAGCGCGCGAAATCTCAGGCCTATCATTGGCGAAATATACTCGCTTATTATTTAAAAACTATTGTAGCCTCGACATTTTGTATTAGAATTTTTGTCTTGAAATTTTCTAAAGAATCTGTGATTGAAAGGATATCTGGTGGTTTTAGTACACCCTATATACATATATACATATATAGACAGAAATTATACTAGATAAAGAAAACAAGCAGATATATTTTAGAAATAATTATACGTATATATTTTTACATACATTTTTTTTACCAGGAAGTTACGTGTCATGATGATAATACCATCTAAAGAAATCTTCTAATCCTTATCTGGACTTACGATATTTGTGAAAATTTTTTAATAATATTTATTTTGTTCGATATTAGGAATAAGAGATAACTATTTTTACTTATCAATTTCTAGATAAATTTTCTAATCTCGAATTTTTAAATACATATATATTTAAAGCTTCAAAGTCTTGAATTCCGAAAATCTTACGATTATCCTAGATCTCAGTTTTTTAATTCTTAGGTCTTTGAATTCTTAAGTTTGCGCGAACTGGATTTTAATAATGTCTAAAGACTCCAATCTTAAATTATAAGATTTCAGATCCCGTTAATCCCTTTTCACATCATCCGATCGTTTCTAATTTTTTATTTGTATCAGATTATCAGGAACTTTAAAGCGTTTCAAGTTCTAGAATTTTCAGTTTTCTGTTGCAATGAATATGGTTAAATTTGTCTTGAAGAACTTTTACAGCGATCAAACATGCAGTTGCTATTTAAGAAAATCATCTTAGGTTCACAAAAACATTTCGTTTCAAGTTCTAGAATTTTCAGTTTTCTGTTGTAATGACAAAATCTTTTGTAAAACTTATACCGTAAATTTTAACAAAAACTTAAGGAAATTAATATAAAAATTGAAACAGGAAACTTATAGTCAACCCGACTGGCTAGTTATTTAATTAGTTTATTACACAAACGTTTAGACCCTATTCTTTTGGGTCTTTTTCGAGTGATACTGCAAATCATCAACAACGCATTGTGTAATAAACTAATTAAATAACTAGCCAGTTGGGTTGACTATAAGTTTCCCGTCTCAATTTTTAATCATTACTGGTGACAATAAGCAAACTCTCCTTTCGGAAATTAATATATATGTATATATACGTGTATGTACACCGCGCGCACGCGGTGCGTGTGCGTGTGATATCACATAAAGACCGTGTGTGCAAAGGTATATTCTTGAGATTTAAAATAAACATAAAAATTGAAATAAAAGTTAGAATTTTTAGAATAAAACACAATACACGGAACAAACTTTTTTCATGGCATATATTTTTTATGTATTGAGGGGATTCTAGAGTGATTCTGCACTTTATGCACTTTTTGCATCTAAAACTGTCAATTCATGAAAACATTTTGTAATATGTAAAAGAAGTTTAACAAAAATCTATTCATTCGAATAAGTTATAGATTACATAACTTATGACTTATTCTAATGAATCGATTTTTTTGTTAGACCTCTAAACTTAATTTCAATGGTATCGTGCTGTTCTCTGATTTAATCTGATTAGTGGAAACTAGCCGGTCTGTACACAACATTTGTGTATTACACAAATGTTTTCATAAATTGACAGTTCTAGATGCAAAAATTGCAAAATCACTCCAGCATTCCCTTAATGGTAATCGATTTTTTTTTTAAGAAAATAATATCTTTTATACATAGTATTTCAATTTTGATGATTATTTTACATATATAAATATTAAAGTAAGCTGAAAGAAAAATAAAATATTTTATTTCAATAATTTGTTAAATATTTCACATTTTATTCCGACATATTCTAATCCCAAACACAAAATGTAAATCATCGACTTTCCATGACCTTACTTTAATACTTTTGCATGAAGAATCGATTAATGTAATAAAAACACGCAATAAATATATCGAAAAGAAAATATTATACATATATAGATTTATTCTTAACTCTTTCACTACAATGGAACACTTTGCTGTCAGAGAGAGTACAAGACGCAAGTGTGCTCTGTCATGCAAAATGTTCAAGCTTGTTACTTAATAATTTTTGTTCGATATGACTATATAAATATCATTATCCCATAACTTAATTTCACTTAACTTTTGTAGCGTGGCAAATGCGTATTGCATTATAATAATTGTTCGTAGCAAAAGAGTTAAAAATATTTTGTCTTCTTTACCCTAATCGACCTCCTAATCAATTCCTTTCATTATTTTGTCCATAAAGATATTAATTTTTTGAGGGTATGCACCTCCAACAAAAGATGTAGACACGCACATATTCACTGTGGCATGTATACCTTCAATGTACTTTTCTATTTTTTGTCTACTATAAAATAATTGTTTTTAAATAAATAAGTTTAGGAAAACATCTAGCGACACTCTAGTAAGAATTCTACGCCCAGCTAGATGTATAATCGTCTGATATCTACTCGATACGGAAAAGAATTCCGACCATACAGATGCAAACGATTAACAATATCACGCTGTTATATAATCAAAGTTTAAACCGAAGTTATTAAAGAGAGAGAGAGAGTTTCTTGTATATAATTAAACATACTTATTAATCTCAAAACCTTTTAACATCATTATCTACGTTAAATAAAACGCGACTTGTATCGCGAGAACCGTAGAACTTCACTCGTAAATCCAGATAAAGATCAATAACATATCACAGATTCAGAATTATATTTGTTGTATCTTAAGAGTAATGTCATTGGCGGTATCTTTAGCAGTATCACCTTTCAATTATGCGTAACAGGTTTTATTTCGTTCCAATAGCTGACATCAACCCGCTGCTAAATTGTGTCATAAATCGGAACGTAAGTAGTAGACATTTGCTAGTCTCGATTGATTTTCGCTTCCCGAGCACAATAGGTTTTTATTACTTTCATTCATAAATAAACGCGTACGCAAAATTACAGCTGTGTCACAGGAGCCGGGGCATTGACCACAGTTGTTTCTCATCTGGCCTGATCGAGCAATAACGAAGCCGCCATTTCCACGTCGTATTTAGTCTGCTTCAAAGCATTTTCACATTGTTGTCTAGTAGCTAGTCCCAACCTGAAATTGCAATAAAGTTTAATGTACGAAATTTATAATTAACAAAAGTCTATATAAAAAATCGTAGATACTATAAAGAGCTTTTTATTTTTCAAACAAGATTTTGGAAAGAACAAAAGTTTATCTTATATCTCTTCTTGAAAGCAAAAATAATATTGATTTCTTTATAACAATGTTACATGTAAAAATTATTCATAATTTCCTACATACATAGACGAGATATAGGAGAGAATGTCGTAAAATAGTTGTAAAATAAATTAAATATATTCAAATAATCTTTTTTCATTATTTTTTTATACTAGATTTTGATCAACTTTTTTTTTTAAATAAACTTCTTGTAAATTTTTAATATGGTTTGAAAAACAATTAATTTTTATAATCGCTAGTAACTTTTAGTACAATTAACTTTTTTTTAGAACCAAACAATTAAATCATAATCCATTTTTTAAAGAGTTTGAAAACTACTACTAAAAATTGGTTCAAAATACTTTTCAAAAAAAGGATACGTAAAAGTAAAACTCGCATTATTGCAGAATGCTTCAAAGGTGTTGATACTTTTTGAGGTCACAACAATCGCTTACTTATTTAATATTACCTTCTTTTTTTTATTCATTTTCAATGAAGGGTTTTCAATTTCTTGATCGTTTACTTTCAACCAATTCAGATTATGAAAGAATTTGGATGCGTTCCGTTTCACGCATGACGCGTCAGATGCGCATGATGCATTATTTATCTTAATTAACATTTGGTGAATAACAAGGGTAAATAATGCATCATGCACATCACGCGTGAAACGGAACACACCCTTATACGATTCACTACTTTTTCTAAGCATTGAGCCAACTTTTATAAAGTTTCTAATCTCTTTAACAAATGGACTACAATTCAGTCGTTTGGTACTAAAATATTTAGACACAAAAATTATTTTATATGTACTGTCGGCTAAAAATTTGAGAAACCACATATAAACTTTAAAAATATTCCAGTGAAACACTATTTAAAAGTTTGATTGATGCCTTTCTTAATATATTTTCTTAATTTGAAAGGAAACAGATATTATACAATACATTTAGCACAGTTGTGGAAGAATTTAGAATTTCCTGTCAGAAAATTGAAAAAGTAAAAAATAAACTTATTAAGCTAGAATATTTAAATTAATAAAACCAAGTGATTAAATGTACGAGTGCCTATTTTGATCAAAAAATGTTTCAAATCTTTAGCGTCTAATACTATTTTTATCTTATAAAAATATTTCCTTTTCATAACATAAAGTTTGACATTTTATATTAGTTTTTATTTTATGCAATATTAAACAATGAATAAAATATTAAATTGTATCGCCTAAGTTTGATTTCATAGATAAAATCATTTAAAAAAAAACAAAAAGTTGATATGTGAATCAACCAGAAAAAGTAGATATAAGGAATACTTTCTTATACTTTGTTGTACCTGTTACGTCCCGTGTAACCCTTCTCCTCTTTCATATACAGGGTGTCCCAATTTAATGTCCCACCCCAAATAACTTTATTTTTAACTGCAGAAAAAACATTTCAGACAAAAGTTATTCGGTTCGAAGGGGGACACAAGATGATACCATTAGTTTGACCTTGACAAGTTGCATGAAAGTCACGTAAAGATCACCTTCAATTTTTTAAAAGGAGCCCCCTATTGTTTATTATACTAACTTATTCTACTAATTAATATAAATAATTTTTGCCTGAAGCATTTTTCGATTTGTCTAATACTTTGCGAAATATTCAAGAAAAAATTGACAACTTTTTCAATATTAGCTTATGATATCTTGATAACTGTCTGTTGGAGGGAAAAGTAGTACAGGACTTTTTTACTTGATTTGGTTTCAGGAATATGCTGTTGTAAAAGTGTTCCAATATTGTTGAACATACACCAAATTTACATACACAACAATTTTCACTAATTGGAGCATTATTGCAACAGCATATTCCTGAGACCAAATCAAGTAAAAAAGTCCTGTACTACTTCTCCCTCCGGCAAACAGTTATCGAGATATCGTAAGCTAAATATTGAAGAAGTTATAAATTTTCTCTTGAATATCTCGAAAAGTATTAGGCAAATAAAAAAATGTTTCAGATAAAAATTGTTCATATTGATTAATAGAATAAGACTGTATAATAAACAATAGGGGGTTCCATTTAAAAAATTAAAGGTGACCTTTACGTGACCTTCATGCAACTCGTCAAGGTCAAACTAATGGTACCATCTTGTGTCCCCCTTCGAACCAAATAACTTTTGTCTGAAATATTTTTTCTGCAGTTAAAAATAAAAAGTTATTTGGGGTGGGACATTAAATTGGGACACCCTGTATACGCATACCTCTCACTCTGTAGCCTAAATAAATCGTGTGAACTCTCCAGCAGTTTTTAGAAATAAAATTCTTCCTGCCACAAATATATTGATGTGTATATTTATAACTGCAATGTAAGATAAAACTTCCTCTAATGCGAAACGAACATTACTCGTTTTTCTTCCTTTTTTCACCTCTTTTGCAACATTTAATAAAACATTTTGTATCTAAGAATCTAGAAAAGATAGAACTACGATTCAAAAACAGATACTTCGTTTCGCATAAGGATGAAAATAATTAAGAGAGAAGAACAGAAAATCTATCAGAAATGTATTATTTTAAACCTTTTGATTTTTTAAACAAGAATCGATAAAATTGAGGGAAGAGAAACCGTGGACCCTTGTCTCCACCACAATCTTAAATAAGTAAAGCGAACATAGGTCATTTCCGAAACATAAAACTACCGATTGGCCCTTGGAAGACACTCCCACACCCACGTTTTGGATATACAGGGTGTCAGACTCGTTTGTAGCCAACCTAAAAGTTACGGTAGATTGGGTTAAACTGAGAAGAAAAGTCATGTACCGTTGTGCAAAATTAGCAATAGTTATCGCGTAATTGATAAAAACGTCTGGTCGAATGAACGCATAAGGAGCGGAAGGCCGAATCCGGCAGGCATGTAAAATGGTTTATTTGTTTATATCTCCTAGGACACAGTAGCGAGAGGTGGAGTCACGTCGCTCGTCACTCAATGCGTGACTCCACCTATCGCTACCTAGGAGATATAAAAGTGCAGGAGAAGAGATTAAAATTTCAGATTAAAAAGGCTCTTGATTCGTACCAAGATCCCTTTCCCTTCTACGAACAATTATCGAAATTGCTGCATAAAAGAAATAACTCAGCACCAACAACTCAGCTCATCCCTTCTTGACGTCCCTATCCTTCTCTCAGTGAAATTCAAATAATCCTCAATTTTGCTCAACAATATAAAAACATTCTCAAGGACGATCCACGAAGGTTCGCATATAAAATTCGTCGCCTATTCGGAGACGGATTCCCAATAGAACTCCCTAAAAGCTATCCTATCCTCTCTCCCTCCGATACTCCATAACTCTTCACACAGTCAATCTCCGTCCCCGGGTAAAGTGCTTAAGTGCATTGACCCAAAAAAAAGAACTTTTAAGACGATTATAAAACGTAACATACCCCAATTTCATAAGGAGGTAACGAGAATGCAACAATAAGCAGTTCAAGCACTTTAATTATAAGGATACTTGCATAAGATCAAATATTGCGCGATCAAGCTACAAAAGTCCGAACGCGCAACCTACTTTATTTTCCAAGAAGAAGTCGGCAAGTCCTCGGCCCGATTACGAGTAATCTCGATTGAGTACCGAGAACACTGACAACTCGATCATCAGGTTTAAAACCGAAGGAAAGCCCCGAGATCGGGGCATTTGCCTATCGCGCGTCATCCGATATTGTACGTTTACGCGTGAAGCATATTGTCAGTCAGGCCTGTCGTCAACCGATCATTGTAACGATCAATAAAGCCTATCTCAAACAGTGAGTTCAACGGTGTCTCTAGTGAGTGACCTCCGACCAGCATCATCTCCTAAAAGAATCCTTTCTGTTCTCGTAAGAGAACACCTCTCGAGAGAGACAATTAAATAAATACTACGCCGTGCACGGA